TGTAAAGATTCGACCTACCTCGTCTAAAACTCACATGCAAATTTATTTTAACTTGCTTTGATGGGACCCCGACGGGTCTTTAATAAAAATTATCTATCTATCTATCTCATTTACTTCAACGTGACTTAAAAACAAAAAGGCTTTGCTGACCACTGGGGTTAGGAAACCTTGTTCAATTGTTTCCTCATTCTAATGACTTGGATTTCCGTCTTTCTGTAGAAGGGATGCACGGTCTAGCTTCGGACTGACTGACGAATGGGGCCGGGATTATGGTTAGGTACAGGAGCTAATTCAGGACTGGGCTTGTACTAGCAATAGCATGGCTGGTGCTGGGGTTGGAAGCAGATCCACCCGGATCTAACCGTAACCACCTGCTCTTAATCATAATCTTAGTAGCAACATGACAACATGTCGTCCCAAAAGTATAACTTTTTCCGCGATTTCCGATCAACTCGCTCAGCCGAATTATTAACACACCTTAAATCCTACGAGTGGACTGAGTTCTTCCTTAGTTCGGATGTAAATGTTTGCACTGCAAAACTGTACGAAATTTTGGGTCCGCTTATTTCTCGTTTTGTCCCCCGTAAGAAAATTATTAATGTTGGGGATGAGATTTTCCTACCTTTACCCTTTCGTCGCAGATTGCGCAGGCTTTATCGTCGTTTCCATATGCAGAACGATGTTTCTGTTCTGCCCTTGATTTGTGACATTTTTGATCGAGCTAAGAGATTGTCTGAAGAAAAACAGCTAGCCGAAGAGGTCCACTTTACTGAAAACCATTCGTTAAGTGTCTCGAAACTTTTCTCTAGAAAAATACGAACTCAGAGAAAGACGCAGTATCCCATCCTTCGAGACGATCTCGGAAATCCCATAGTTGACGCCCAGTTAACCGCGGATAGCTTCAATGATTTCCTGTCCAAAACGTTCATTGAAGACTCGACCACTCCGCTTCCGACCATCCAGTTATTGACCGGGGCAGTTCTAGAAACTATAAGTTTCACTCTGTGGGATGTGACTGTTGAGATTCGGCGTTTTCGTCAATCTTATAGTCCAGGCCCTGATGGTGTCCCAGTAAGCATTTTAAAAGCCGATGCAAACACGATCTTCCCATCCCTCTTATGCAAGATATTTAATCTTGCTCTTGAAAGTGAAACTTATCCTACCTTGTGGAAGGAATCACACATTTTGCCCATTTCTAAGCACGAAAAATCTACATCATTTGATGACTTTCGGCCAATAAACACACTCCCTGCAGTTTCGAAGATCTTAGAGACATTGATCAAGGATAAGATGATCTGTCACTTAACAGCGAACAACTTACTGAGTGTTGCTCAGCATGGATTCCTCAAAGCTCAATCTTGTGACACCTGTCAACTCTCTTTCTTTGACTATGTTCTCCAATCTAGGGACCATGGTTTTGCACTTTACACAGTATATTTCGATTTCACTAAGGCTTTTGACCGTGTTGACCATGCTCTTCTCCTCTTGAAATTGTCCTCTTTCGGAATAGGGGGCAAACTTTTGAATTTTATATCCTCTTATTTGGGCACTCGCACACAACGAGTTAAGATTTCCAATACCATCTCCAACCCCACACGTGTGAGGAGTGGAGTCATTCAGGGAAGTGTACTCGGCCCGCTCTTATTTTGCCTTTTCGTTAATGATGTACCCGATTTATTTCAGAATGGTAAGCCTTTCATGTATGCCGATGATCTTAAAGTTACATATCGATATAAGCCGGCAGATCATGACATCGTGCTTGAGCTCCTAAAGAGAGATCTACAGGCTTTCGCCCAGTGGTGCCGCACATGGTGCCTTTTTCTTTCTTGGCACAAATGCTCAGTCATGGTGGTTGGCGACGACCGCCAACCTCAACTAAGTATTGAAGGTCACGCAATAAATGTGCCAGGGGTAATAAAGGATTTGGGCGTATCATACTCCAAGAGTCTCAATCTCTCGGAGCACTGTGCCTTGATAGTCTCCAAAGCACGTAGAACGACCGGGTTTACCCTCCGAAATTTTAAAACTAGGGACATCAGAATGCGCCTTTTCAACATGTACGTTAGACCTGGTCTGGAATACTGTTCATTTTCATTTAGCCTCATGCGTGCTACTGAGCGGAAGAAAATAGAATCCGTTCAACACTTTTTACCAAGAGAATTTTAACCCCGGAACACCGACATTTGTCTTACCAAGAACGTTGCCGGCCTACAGGCCTCGATCCTTTATGGTTCCGTAGATTACAAAAGGGACTATTTTTGCTATTTAAACTCTTATATAATCACACATTTAACCCGCTCACCTCTTTAAGACATCATATCCACCCAAGACTTAACAGTCACCGTGAGGTCTTCTTATTTCTGACTCTGGCACGTACTGTTAAATATCGTCGGTTCTTTTCTGTAAATGCAATTGCTATTTGGAATAAACTACCCATGAGTGTGAAAACTCTGCAAAATTTTCCTTTGTTTAAGAGAACTATTACTCGATTTTTGCATTCAGAAAAGCTCCCACAAATTTTGGGTGCTGAATCTACTGATCGACTGTACCGTAGCGATGGCGTTTGTGGTCTCTGAACACTATGGCCGGTCTCACCAGCTGTTCTTCGACGCCTCTACTTTGACAATCCCCAACTTCATGAAAGGAATTTGACGTCCGATAATCTCCGATACCGTGCACCCTCCCCCCTTCTTGACGGTCGATATTCTACCACCGCCGACAGTTTTTTTCTCCTGAGCCCTCCAAACCACTAAAACCACCATCAACTATATTTTTATGCCTTAAGCTCAGGAGTTTTTTTTTTCACTGCCGGTCGGATTTGTGTTTAATCGCTTCCCTTGACAATGCCTGTAAACTGGCATTAAATTAAAATTTATTTATTTATTTATTTATTTATAAAGCAACAGTCGAAACCGCATTCACCGCCTCGGCCTTATTAAAACACATATGCTTTCCCGCAAAATGCTAGAAATCACAATTATTAATGAAAAGGCACATATAGAAGGAACAACGTAAGTGTTTGCTAGTGTGCATGCGAATATGCGTCTGCCACTGATTTCTTCCATAAATTGGCATGCTTTGTATTAATCAGTGCCAGGCCTTACCAAATCATACTCATTGAGGGATTGTGCCAACAGTCTGGACCAAATTTCCTACAAAGCGAATCCTACCAGCACCTGTCTTTGTAAGTAGCTACAGCTAAAGGAAAAACCAGTGCTTTTCCGCGTGAGAGATTTGGCTGATGATGTGACTACCTAGTCCAGTCGCCTGTTTCCCTTTCAAACACCCATCCGTCCCCAAAAGATACCTTTTACCACTGAACTCCGCGGCAAATGAATGCAGAAGTCATGAGTGAATACATGAAGGCATTCGCTGAAGCATACGTTTTAGATAAATTTCCCACCAGGAGCGGATTCTATTTTACCTCGAATTCACAACCTTTTCCTAGTCGCACCTAATTAACATCCTCTGTCATTACAGAAATTCTCAGGAGAATGACTGTAAATGTTCAGCAGAAACTACCGACGCCAGGACGTTAGCTAAACGGCAACGCATAAACTGTCATTGGTTTTCGTGGGTCAGTCGAAGGGTTAATCAAAAATATCTACCAAACTTTGTCCTTCGGAATTTCAAAAAGAAGCTAAAACATTCAGTGCATCGCAGTCATTAATAGGAGGACAGAGCCATCTGACATGTCCAGGAAAGTATGTTCAAGAGTTCGCCTAGATTCCTCGGAACAACGACCTAGTTGATGTATCTTTAAGTGCTGTTGGTTCCAAAGCAAACGATTTGAAGATTGATAGCACACTACCTAAAACTCGCTTTGATGACACTGTGGGGAAATGGTCCCCATCCTTCAAGCTGACGCGGTTATTCGTCACATCAAAGATTACTCAAATATAATTCTTGGCTCGAAGGCCTGAGATCGCGCCTAGATTAAAACTATCGCAGCACCTTTCACTTGAGGTTGTGTCTGAAATCCTAAGCAAGTTTGGCTCGCACGTAGCTTAAAGGTTTTCTAAGGAACCAAATCCAACTTAAACCTCACCATGATTGTATTCCCAACAATCCCGTTAGACCGTTCAACTCGCTTTATGCAAGTGTGTAATTTGAAACAGAAAAAGTGGTAACGCAACGGGACCAATATACCTTGGCTTAAAATAGCTTTCAAAAATGTCCCGCATAAAGAATTATAGCTAAAACTGAAATTTGGAAACTCTCCTGCATTATTACTTGGTTCAATTTTCTAGGAAGTCAAAAGTGAAAAACCGTACTTAACTATAGTCAGCCATATAAAGACAGCAGCAGAGCAGACCTGATGCCGTCCATTCGGATTCAAAAATCAAAATTACGGAAGATCGCATTTTGCAATTCGAGAACCTCTGATGTGGACTCAAGACCTTTAGTCGTTGAACACTTAAGTCAAGCCGGAGTAAAGGTCCCTGGCTAGCGTTTGTGGCCAGGAATTCTCCAAAACATAGGAAAAGGCATTCAATGCTTTGACGTTGTCGATCGCTAACAAGTTTTCGCAATTAGTCCTGCCACCGTCTTTTCGACGTTTTCTAATGGGGTCGAAACACACCAGGAGACGGTCGAGGTAAAGGAGTCATTAGTCTTTTCAACGGGAGGGTGTGTGACAGTTAACAGTTGCTTTCCTAACTCGAAGATGACATAAACGCAATGTGCCATTTTCTCCAAATCTCGCATGGCAAAACGTTTACGTGCATTTATCGTGTTAGCGACTCTGGTGCTCCCTCAACCGTCAGAGAGGCTCTAACTCTCCTCTGGCAGCGTATTGAATCTGTTGATATGGACTAACGTCAGGAAATTCAATTCATGAGTGGTGCTCACTTTCCGAGCCGGGGCGCGGATAGATCAAAACCCTAGTCTCGTGCTATACAGCTCTTTTAGATTAGAACAAATAACGAGTAGAAGAAAGCTTTTTTTCATAATTTGAGGTAAAACTTTGCATGATTAGTGAATGTGTCAAGGTATAGAGGTTAGGCGTCCTCATCAGCCCAGTCGTCGCCCTCATCGTTTCCCTCATCACTGTTTGAACCGGAGTCTTCTTTCGAGCCGCCTCCCAACTCCGCATGAGCGGCCTTCCAGGCCTCTTCTTCGTCTGCTGTAGGATCCTCCATTTCCGTCGTTTCAGGTCCAGAGGGAAACTCCTCCATCACGTCTGGGTGAAGTGCGGGCTCGAAGTTTGAAATAATGTACTTCTGTCCCCAGCCAATGTAGAAATTCAAAAAGCTCCTGTAAAAACGGAACAGAAGTGTAAGCAAGCAGTTTTGTGATAGAGCATCATGGAAGAGGACAATTCAGAACGACGTAAGGGATAGGGCAGGAGTTTTTCTGGTTTTTGCAAGTGCCAGGTAAGTTAGCTAGCCTCTGTGAAGAAAAGTAGAATCTTACAATTCGACTACGACCAATTATAAAGTGGGCCACTGGACGCGGGTTGCCCACAACCAATACACATATGTTGTTGGATGAGAGGCCAAACTGGTAGTTCTAAATTATCACGACCAGAAAGGCTACATACGAATTTTGACGCAACCTCCACTTCAGATAGGCCAAGCGGTAGACAAAACAAGCCATTTCTGTCGCGTTAAGCTCTGTACTTTCTTTTATTTGGTTTATTGTTTACAACACTGCCTCTTTCATAAACGCATAATTTAGGGAAAAACAGTCAGATAATTTTAAGCTTAGGAAGTTTGCTGGCTGAAGCGACCTACACGGCGCTCAACGGTGACTAAAGGGTTTACATCAGGCGAGCTTGGCGGCTCAATGTCAGGAGTAACGTGATATTGATCCTTCTCATGCAGCCCGCAAAACCCAGGAGTACCCGGTCAGCAATTTTCACGATTGCCGATACAAGCGAAGATGCGAGTTCCAGGAACTAGTTGATCAGGAGAAGAAGAAGAAGAAGAAGCGATCGTTGGAACAAGGGGTTTATTCGCCTAACGCTTCGGATTCTCACTTGAACCCATCATCAGATACAGTGGCCGAGCAATCCCTACACCAGCATCCACCACCGGTGATGAGATGACAGCAATTAACAACTTGCATTTCGGCCACTAAGCAATTAGCGCACCAGCGGGTAACAATCCTTGATGAAGGGGAGCACGGTTAATTGCTATAGGTATGCGGTAGCATAGCGACTGCATCCTATAAATAATGCAACTTCCCGTGCACAAGTCACCCTTTTCTGCCACTGTCTCTGATGATGGGTTTAAGCAAGAATCCGAAACGCTAGGCGAATAAACCCCTTTTTCCAGCGATCGCTTCTTCTTCTTATCAATTTTCACGATAATGGTAAACCTGACAGCTGACAGCTGTGTATAGTCATGTCAAAAGATGCATCCATGCTGTAATTGAGGCGAAAGACGGTTTTACTGAAAAATCACTTATGTTGTATATGCGGGAATATGTGTACTGAATTTAATGAATGTTTGTCGGCATCTCTACGGAATATTTCTGTTTTTTCTCAAAGAGCCGACGTACCCCATATTGCGGAATTAATGCAGAGACTGGAATGGGCTGCTAAGAAACATGACGTGAGTGTCCGAAGAAGCGTCTATCGGAAGAAAACCTGGTCTGGACAATACACGAACTTCGCCAGTTTCGTACCCCTCCAACAAAAACGAAATCTAGTCCGATGTTTGGCACAAAGGGCTAGAAAAATTTGCTCAACAGATAGCATCGAGGAGAGCTCAGAAAAATCCAGGACTTCCTTCGCGAACACGGATATCCTGAAAGGTTTATTGAAAAGAATATTGCTGAACGACCGATCAAACCCGCCACACCGACCGCCGAAAAGAAGACTTTGTTCCTCAAGGTCCCTTTCCAAGGGGACGCCGCGAGTGAACTCCTAAGGAGACGCCTTGATCAAGCTGTCTCGCGAACCTTCCCGGCAGCAAGGGTTCAAATAGCGTTCTCCACTAACCCGATTTTACGTGGAGAAGGGAAGGATAAGTTGCCACCGCAGACCACATCAATGTGCATATATTCCTTCACTTGCTCCTGTGGAGCAGGTTATATTGGTCGCACGAGTAGGCGCTTATCCAAGAGAATACGCGAACACCTTCCCGCATGGCTGGCAAAAGGTGAAACTAGGAGAATAGACAGCGCCATTCTCGCGCATGTTGTCGAGTCCGGACATCGTGTGGACCCCAACGAAGCTTTTCGTGTAATTTATAAGGTCCCATCGAACTACCCTAAGCTACTAGGCCAGCGCCTGTTAGCGACAGCGGAAGCAGCCGCCATTAGGCTACGAAAGCCAATCTTATGCGCGCAGAAGAACCAAGTTCAGGCTCCGCGCCTACAGTGGTCGAAGGTCGACTAACGCTGCTACACTTCGCGCCCTTCCGCTCTCACCCCGCCCCTGATAATGACTGCTATTACCCACCCCACCCTCCCCACCCCCCACATTCCCACACCCCGCCCGTGTTTTAAGTAGAACTTTTATCGATTTTCTTATCGCTGACGTGTTTTTCTTCTACCCCGTTCTCATATAACTGTACTGGCCCGACGAGAATTTATCGAAAGCTACGTATGTTCGCCACCTCGTCTTCTGATTACTGCTATGGGAATTTTCGCAACTCTAAGAAACATGAATTTATGAGACAGGACAGACCAGAAAGGACGTGTCTGGGTAACTGGACCTCCCAGTCAGTAAAACATCAACCCTAAACTCTTTGCAGAAAATCTTGACCAAAACCCCACCACCGCACGTCTGACAACCAGAGTAGGTGACAATTAGTCTGTTGTCACCTTTTGACCAAAGTGTTGAGAGAGCTTGCCTTGGAAGCCGATTATTTTAAGCAATAGCAATCGGCTTCCTTGTCGTGCTGCACGTCATATAATAGTCGTTTTTGCTCCCTTACATCGATTTTCTTGACAGTGAGGACGTAAATCTTATCTGCTGGGGCAGCCGCGCGCAATGCCTCGTCTTACAGTGCCCAGTCAATGACAAGAAGTTATTGGGTAGATCGGATCTGAGCAACTGATGCATCCCCAGCAGTTTGTGCAGGATGGCGTCAAGCGAGCCTCTTATAGCCTATAAACCAAGTCCAAAATGAAAGAAGAATTCGACAAATACTCACTGTTCAAATCCAATAGCATAAGCGCCTGGCCAGAGGTTGGAGGAGAGCACAGCCATGGCAAATTGCGGAAGACGAGAGGAGGTCAGTTTGGCAGACCATGGAGGTATTCCGCTGGGATCCTGGTCTTCTGCAATTGGCGTCAGTAATGGGGGTCCGGTCTCGGGCTCAGGGAGGTCAATTTCTTCAGCCTTCGAGCTAGCCTCAGAGTCCTCGCTATCGCTCTCATCCTTCTGGATCACGTTAATCCTACAATTGTAAAATAAGTCTATGCAGTGGAAGCAGATTAACAGATACTGAGTTTACCCAAAAGCCCACAAAGTTGTGCCCCTTTTATGGTTTTGTGGACACTTGTATCCCAAAAACTCTGACTGTAACTGACATCAATGGTTTCTAAAAAACCACTTGGGTTAAACCAAGGCGATTCGAAGTGCATGGAAAAACCGTATAACGCTCCATAAATGGTCGTTAAAAAAGAAACTCAAACAGTACCTGTACGTTGTCTGCACGACTCACCTAACAAATCTGCTTTCTGAAAATCGAAAGACGACGTGTCACCTGGCACTGAAATATATGCTATTCCATGGCTTTTAGACGGACATAAATATTCTGACAGAGTGCGCGATGCGTCGATCGCTCCTCGCATTCAACCTGTTTTTTTCACAATATTTCTAGAGAAATGTGTTCATCACCCACCGCATTCAAGCCGTTTTCGTAGAATACTTCCAGTGTTGCCGAGTCAACACATCGTCTGCTGTCATAAACGATGACGGACGCTTTGGCTCTGCCTAGTGACCCTACCGCAGTAACCACCTCGACAGGAGGGCTAAACCAGACAAGGGGATCTTGTACATGGGTGTGTGTGTTTATTGTGGGTCCCAGGTTCATCCTTAAAGTCCCCATTGCGACCGTACCTTCTGATCAGGTATCTGAACCTCCAAGCCGATTCTGACCAGAAAGCCACTGCAAATGCACATCATGCATCGGCCTAGTCAACAAACCATTGCCAGGAACATAAAAACACAGACCCGTCGCCATCGCCTCAACTGCTCGCACGGCCGACGCACATTCAGACAACGCATGGGCTGATTTGTCCACATGCTCCTCCATGCCAGTATGCGATAAAACACCCTAGGCCCAACCTTGCCGCCACATATCTCCCAAAAATCCGTACGTTATATTATCTCACAGGCGCGGAATAGGCACCTCACAAGTAAGTGGGAGTCATGTCCTTCGTACTCCTTCACGTATGACTTCGATGGCACTCTGCCGCATTTGAGACCTGAGACAAACACATCCTTTTCGTGTACTATATAAGGGCCAGGTAGGGAGCGTAGTGGTGTCCAGTTGTGGATCCACGTGACGGTGGTAATAGGTCGTCCACTTGCTTGCAGGTGCAGAATAAGTCTACCGCCTATCAACTAACACCAAATTCTTAGCCGTTGTTCCTAGATGCCAGGCTCCGCCTAGCGACCGCATCCCGGCAACCGCCACGACCGGCGAGCTAAATAAGGTGAGCGTAACCGTGTGTGCATCTCTACATACGGTAACTCGGCTCGGCTCCCATCATCGCTGGCCGGACGGACCACCGCCACGGCTTCTCCGAGATGTGCCCCCGTCTGCAACCCCGCAGGAGGCCACAAGCGCTCAGAAAGCTACTGACCAGTTAGCCGGAAGACCGGTCCCTTACTTCTCTTTCGCACCTATTCTCTGCCCGTCTCCTCTGCCTCTCACCCCCTCTACTCTTCTACCCCACGGTCGAAAGTTTCACGGATCACTGCATCGCCACCTCCAAGATGAAGCTTCATCTGCAACCCTGAAATAGGCCACAAGGTAGGTAACCCCCCAGGTAAGCCAAACGTGGCTTTGTTGTCTTTGCTTTCTGCTTGTTCTTGCTCGTTTGTCCTTGTCCGTTTGCTTGCGTTTGTCCCTGTTGTAGGCTTATCACCCCTCTATTGAATTTGCCTACTCACCATGTATATGTCAGCCGCCAGAGGGACGGGAAACTCTGCTTTTCGTCTCTCTGCTCTTCCATCAGCCCCCTCCACAACACTCAAAATTCCGACGGCGAGAGTGACAGCGATCACGTAGGCGACCCAGGCTGACTCGGATCGTTCTACCATTAAACAAATTCGTGACCCATAGTGGAGTCTGGCAGCCGTCTGGGATGGCTAAGCCGCCCTATTTAGGGCCGCGAAGGGAACGGGAATAGAAGGGGTGTCCAAAACAAACGGAGGACAGCGCTAGGGGCTCGGGAACTGGCGCCCTACAAGGTGGACATCACTGCACTCCGTGGGACCCGGTTCTCTGAACAAGGCCAACTGGAGAAGGTGGGTGCCGGTTACACCTTCTTCTGGGGCGGTCGTCCCAGGGACAGGGCGACGGGACGCAGGCGTTGCCTTTGCCGTCCGGAACGACATCGTGGGACGACTGCTCGGTCTGCCGCAGGGCATCAACGATCGTCTGATGAGCCTCCGTCTGCCTCTCCATGCAGGCAAACTCGCCGCCATCGTCAGTGTCTACGCTCACGCGATGGCCAGCCCTGACGAGGCGAGGAACAAATCTTACGAGGACCAGCACGCCCTCCTTGTGACAGCCCCGAAGGCGGGTAATCTGAGTGTCGTTGGTGACTTCCGCGTCCGCGTCAGCACAGACCATGCTAATAGAAGCAAAGAGACAAGTCCCGGGAAGCAGTCGTGATGAAGGAGACACGATCGATGGGACAAGAGCTTTAATCGCCTGACGTTTCGGATTCCTGCCCGAACCCATCATCGGAGACAAAAGCAGATACGGGTGACTCATGCACAGGGGGCTGCAGTATTCATATGATGCAGTCGCCATGCTACCTCATACCTATAAATATTCACGGCTTCCCCCTCCCACTTCACCGGGGATTGTTGCACTTGGTGTGCTGACTGTTTGATGGCCAACATTCGCGTCGTTGATTGCTGCAATTTCATCACGTGCGTTGGACGTTGGTGTGATGATTGCTCGACCGTATGATTCACCGGCCCTGGCGTTGGGAGAAGTGTTCACCTGTGCGCTCCCCGCGTGGCCAATTACTCCGCTTAGGCGAAGTCTCAGCACCTAATGTGGAAGGAGATGGTCATTGCACTTGTTAATGGACTGGGGACTAGTGAACCATGAATCAAGCAGCTCGCGGCTCACGCGCTTATCACCTCTGGCGAGAATTTCGGCCTCGTTGAGTTTTAATGTGTGGCCGAATCTCGTTGCAGTTGTTTATCGGATCTGGTGCAGTCGCGGACAAAGCAACTACGTCGGAAAAACCGGAAGACAGCTCCGAAAGCAAATAACCAAACAGGCTGCAGCAGTGCGGAGAAATGACGCCGGTCCTCAAGTTGCGGCTCATTTGACGAGATCCAGCCACGAACCTGCGCAGAACACCAGTTCCACCTGACCAACATCTACTTTCGCCTTTCGATACGAGAGAAAGCCACCTGGATGCACCCTCGATCGCAACAGTGACACCTACTGGTCATGTCCTCGTCCAGAAGCGGGCGTGATGGTTGCAAAGGCGATCTCGGATGCCGACGGTTGGACCGACGATCATCCAGTCATCTCCGAGTTGCGGAGTCGCCTACAGCCTCGTAAAAGACTTCAAGGTAACCGACCCAAGGTAAGTTGAATATTGCTTTGTTCTCCTTGCTCGCTCATCATCTCCATTTCAGCAATGAAATAGCCCAAACGCTAGCCAACCTTCCAGTCGCCGCCGCCACCGAGGAGAACGCCTCCATTGAGAACCGAAGGTGCAAACTGCGGGACACACTCAAGTAGACGGTCCTGGCTATCTTCGGTCGTGCATGGCGCCAACATCAGGACTGGCTCGATGGCAATGACACCGCCACCAGCAACCTATTCGCCGAGGTGAGCCGTCCGCACAAAACCTACGTCGACCGCCCGACCGACGACAACAGAACGGCCTTCTACCTTTTTCGCAGTCTTGTGCAACAGCGGCTGCGGGAGATGCAAGACCAAAGAGATCCAAGTTTACGCGTATCCAAACGTATGGAAGAACTTCTCTGCGACCAGGGCTACCAACGGTGCCACAACCAAAGGCACTGCTCCTCTTCTCAGTGCCAACGGAACCACCCTACTCACGAAATAGACACAAATTCTGCCTAACACTTCTGAGCCATCTTCAACCGTCCCCCAACCATTTCCGACGCCGTCATCACCCCCCTGCCTCAAATGGAGACCAACGCCGATCTCAAACTCCAGCCCTCTCTCCACGAAACCATAAGGTAGTGCAGCAGCTCTCCAGTGCAAAAGCACCCGATCGGACACAATCCCTGCTGACCTCTGCAAGGCTGACGGTCCCCAACTCATGGATCATCTGACTGCGCTCTTCCTCGAGATGTGGCGCCAAGAAGAAGTCCCGCAGGACTTTAAAGACGCCACGATCTTGCACCTATACAAACGGAAAGGGAACCGCCAGCTCTGTGAAAACTATGGAGACATCTCCTTCCTGAACACCGCCGGGAAGATCTTCACTCGCATTCTTCTCAACCGTCTGAAGAACCATCTAGAACAGGGTCTTCTGCTAGAAAGCCAGTCCGGCTTCCGCCGTTATAGTGGAACCACCGACATGATCCTCGCCGCCCGTAAGCTGTAGGAGAAGTGCCAGGAGATGCGGACCCACCTGTACTCTACCTTCGTCGATCTGACGAAAGTCTTCGACACGTTGAATCACGGAGGACTGTGGAGAATCATGCAGAAATTCGGCTGGCCCGAACGATTCATTCAAATAGCGCGTCAGCTCCACAATGGCATGATACCGCGAGTCACGGACAATGAAGCTGTCACAGAGGCATTTGCAGGGACCAACGGAGTAAAGCAGGGCTGCGTCCTCGCGCCTTTCCTCTTCATTTTCATGTTCTCTGCCACAATGAAGGACACCTGCCGCGACGAACGCCCTGGTATCCGCATGGCCTACAGGACGGACGGCCATCTCCTCAATCAGCGGCGGATGCACTTCCGGTCGCGTGTTTCCACAACCACAGTCCATGAACTTCTCTTCGCCGACGACTGCGCTTTCAATGCCACCTCGGAAGGGGATATGCATAGGAGCATGGATCTCTTCGCCGCAGCCTGTAACACAGATGCCGATGCTGTCTACATCGCACCCCAAATCAACGTGAACGGCGCCCATCTGCAAGTCTTGAATAGCTTCATCTACCTGGGTAGCACCCCCTTCCGCACCACCAAGATCGGCGACGAAGTGGCCCACCGGATCTCCAAAGCGAGCCAAGTCTTCGGTCTTCTGCAAAGCACCGTCTGGAATCAACACGGTCTCCACCTCGGTACCGAACTGAAGATGCACAAAGCGGTCATCCTGCCGACGCCACTGTATGTAGCAGAAACCTGACTGGTATGCAAGAAGCAGGCACGAAGACTCAACCACTCCCACCTCAGCTGTTTTCGAAGGATCTTGAAGTTGAAGTGGCAGGACCGGATCCCGCACATGAACGTACTGGGACGGATGGGAATCGTCGGCGTCTGCGCCCTGCTGAGACAACTGAAACTGAGTTGGAGCGGCCATCTCGTGCGGATGGACGACAAGCGGCTACCGAATAGATTCTTTTACGGATATGTCGACACGGGTTTACGCCGACAGGTAGGTCAAGTCCGGTGCTACAAGGGCGCCCTGAAGACTTCCCTGAGACGCCTGCAAATCAATCCCATCAACTGGGAAGAAATTGCCCGAGACCGACCGACCTGGTGGAGTGCAGTGGAGACAGACGCAGTGATCTACGAAACCAACCGCATCACCGCCTCCAAAGCCAAACGCAAATCTCATAGACCTCGACTGCCCTCGCCTCACAACATCAACAGTCAGCCTCCCCCGACCTGCGCACGTCGCAGCGGACGTTCCCAGACACTAGTCAGTCTCATTAGACATCTTCAAACCAACTGCATCACCCGGACGGCACCTCATGATGCCCCCCCACCAACATCCGCCCCGCCCCCACGCCGATAATCAACAATGACCGCAATTCAGAACCCCCACCGCTATCCATCGCCTCAACATCGACTGCGACGGCTCCTGCACCCACCACCACTGCACCCAATCCAGACACGCCAACAACCATCAAACCCACAACCACCAAAATGCGCGATTTAAACTCGGCTCATGCCTGTCCTCATTGCGATCGTACTTTCACTTCACACATCGGCATGATCGGTCACTTGAGAATCCATCGCACACAGGCTGGCGAACCAGCGCCTGGAGCACTAACCCACACGCTGGATCCGCATCAACTGCCTTCACTGCACTCGCACACTCACTCGCCGCATGGGCCGTCTAGGTTGCATGCGCATCCACGAAAGCGGTATTCACTCCAGCCTCGAAACACCTGGTACATCCTGCACATCCACCATGTCTAATCCAACATACACCGTCGCCCAGCGCGCCCACCACCAGCAGCTCCATCACTGATACCATCTCCGAAGCCGACACTGATACCGCCATCTTTTCATGTCCACACTGTCCCCCTACATTCACCTCACACATCGGCCCGGTCGGTCGCCTCAACTGCCCTCACTGCACCCGCACATTCGCCTGTCGTATGGGCCTATTCAGTCGTATGCGCATCCGTGAGAACCTGCGGAAGGCAACCGTCGGCTGCACTATACCACCACATCTTCCCCCACCTACATCACACAACATCATCACCCATCACAATCATCCAACTGTCAGTCCCAAGGCTAGTGGGAAGTGTGTGAGTTTCGACTTTGTCTCCAAGCGGCTTCTCTGCTGCATGTGTGATCCGAGTCTGAGACTAACACGGTGTGTCAAGCATCGTCGCCTGACGCATTAACTCAGTCCACGCAGGCTGCCCATTTGTGTGAGTGTTTGTATGGAGTAACAGACTTGTGGGCTGAGCGCCGGGCCGAAACGGCTCCTCCCTAACGTGAGCTGCGGCACTCTAACGCTGTGTGTGTGTGTTTGTGTTTAGAGGAGTCAAGTCGTGTATGTGGCACGAGCAGACAAGGTCACTATGTATGCCAACGCGCCCACTCCCGCAAGTGACCGGCTCGGACAGTGGCTGGGACCTGGAAATGGGAAATACGGGTGAGGTGGACGACTCAGGGCATTTTTCTCACTATAAACAATATAAAGAGCCCGAAGCTATGACGGTGTGCCAAAAGTCGTGGCTTTGAAGGTTACCAACTGACCGGATAACTTGGACCTTGCAGTCGGCCCAGTGTTTTGCGTTTGCGTGGAGTGGCCGGCTGGTGGTCTAAAATTCAGGCTGCGAGGACGCCTTCCCAACGTGTTCTTTATGGCACTCCCACTCCGTGGAATTCGAGCCGAGTGTGGCGGCACGTTTAAGTGTGACTCCGCCGTGCCAGCCACCCTTTTGTTTTTGATCAAAAACCTGGTCGTTTGTTGTGTGGACCAGGGGGTGCGGAGTGGAGCACCAGGGTGCGAGCTCGCCCGTGTCATCCACCTGCGCCCTCTCCCGCCTCCGGTTTTCTTCAGTTTGTCTTGACACGAGGTCCAGGTGGGGGAGAAGGAGAGAGTGTGGTAGATGCGGCGCAAGTCACCGTGCCTGCCTCATCCCGATATACCGAACACGGTGACCTAGCCGGAAATGACAGTTTAACTGCCGGTATGTGTGGGTGGGCCGTTTTACCTCTGTTACCCGCAGCATCAGCTTTAAGATCGGTTCAGATAATCGAATGATTCACAGGAGAAGACAGTCAAAATAACTCTACATCTACCACTCTCCGACGCAGCGGAGTATTTCCAACGAGCTTTTAAACTATCGCGATAGGTTAAAAGTCGTGCTTCGCAAGGCTGTCCACTGACGGAATAACACGGTCGAGGACGTAGAGTCAGGCTCAAACGGCTCTTTTCGATGTGACCTGTGCGGAACTCCCGACCGATTGAAGTCCGAGCCGCCCCTTTGCTTTTTTCTGAAAACACGGTCCATCGTGAGTGGACGGCGTATGTGTGGCACGCGTAGACGGGCTGCCAGTTTTGTCAGCTGCTGCGCCCAATCCCCTCTCCGGTCCACTTAAGAGAGTGTGATAGACGCAGCGTACGCTCATTATCACTAAAAACTAACTAGCGCGCAGTTCATCGTCCGTGCGTGCGGTGGTCACCGTCGTTAGCGACGGTTGGACTGTTAATCCATAAGTACAGTAGTACTGTCTTCGGTTGCATTCTTTCCCAAATTATAAAATTCCTACGAAATGAGCGACTTCTTGGTCTAAGTCGAGTCAGCTCTCCACTAAACAGAAGTCGTGACCCATATTTGAATTCGGTGGTCATCTGGGGTGACTTGGAAACCATATTTAAAGTTACCGATATTCACTCCCTTGTAGGAAAGGGGGTCAAAAGCCCTGCAATTACGGAGCCTAATGTCATATTGGTTTCGCAACCAGAAGATTCTGCAAGCCCTCTCTAGGGAGGATTCTGCGAAAATTAACCGGCGCAAGGGACCTTAAATGGAAAGGTTTCTCGCAATGGTCAGCATCGGCTTCACCCTCAAAAGCAAACGTTTTCACTTCCAGATGCAATTAAACATCCGCTTACCAGATTAATATTCATGCATAACCAACGGGCAGCCAGCAACTAATGCACAGTACATTTGGTGAGAGCTAGCAGCTGCGTCGCCAAGTATAGTGTATAGTGTAACCTACGTATGCACTGATTAGAATCAGAAGCATGGAATTCTATGCGGACATGTGGCCCGGCATAACTCTGGACAGTGCCTCAATACGACGGTCTGAAATTAAAGCCGACAATTCTAAGTCTGCTTAACGACTATCTCCCTACTGAAGCGTTCTAGTTTCTGCCTTTAAAAGGGTCAAGGTGGATAGTATGATTAAAACAGAGAAACTGGTCGATGAAAACAAACGGGCGGGTTCCAGAAAGCGGTTCAGAAGAAGAAGATGCGACCACTGAAAGAGGAAGTTTATTTGAATGGCGTTTCGGATTCTAACACTAGCCCTCCATCAGAGACAATCGCAGGTAGGGGTCTGTGATGATTGGTTCGAATGGAATCCGAAACGTCATGCCAACAGACTTCTTCCAGTGATCGCACCTTCTTCCCTGGCTTCTTCTTCTTCTTTCAAGTAGGCTGGTTCTGAAATGGATACTGCGCAATCCTGCTGGTTAAGTTAGTTACCTCACAGCTGAGGGTATGAGTTTGTTTAGATGTCCACAGTGTCAGAAAGCAGACCTTTGATCATGAGCTTGCGAGAATTTGAAGCTAAGCTCCTTTTTGAAATATGTGTATCAAGCCACCATTAAAATTACAATCGTATGATTGCTCGGTTATATACGGTAAGAAGATAAATAGACCCAAAATTGGCGGTCATAACAAAATAAACACATAAGCAGCAAATAGGAACTAAAGAAAGGGAACCGGTTTAAACGTTCTTCCAAGCAAATAACATCTTTCAGTCTTATTGTTATAGAAACAAAGTTTCCCAAAAAAATTACGGTAACATCCTGCACTAACCATTTAGTGCGTCCCTGAGGCAGAAGATAGGGTGCATGGTGAACCCAATTGGTGACGCTGGGATCCGCAAGCTCTGCAACCGTCAGCGGTTCGTATTCTTCATTTTCCATAAAGTGTTCATGATGCACCTCCTCATCGTCTGATTCTTCCTCTTCCTCGTCAAAGCGATAGAAATTCATCGGCGAAATAAGCGTGGCGGCGGTTATTCGTGCAATTTGGGCTCTCAGAAGATGCCTCTCTTTCCCAGGGAAGGGAGGATAGCTGATAATAGTTGCATCCAAGTCGCCAGTAAAGAATAGGCGGATTTTCCGTGCGCACTTTATCTGTTTTGTTAGATCACAAGAAAGCAACTCGAGTGGTTAATATGCATGAAAATACTTCTGGTTAGGGAGGACTTTCTTATTATTAGTAAAGGATAAAAACTTACACAATGGGTTATTTAGTTGCTCAGATGGAAACTACAGTACGTGACCTATCTCATGAAATCTGAAAACGGAAACTAATGAGAGAATTTCTGGACGCCTTTAACGTTGAGCATTTTGTTCGCCCATCCACTTCCTTCAATAAAATATCCTTTTCTTGTGCAGAAATTGCGTTTACGCAATTATATCAAGTAAAATATCAGTAAATTTTGGTGAAAATGGACGTTGGATTATCGTGCAATTCCCTATGCTAATACATGTCTTAGACTCCGGCTACGCATCTGAGCGACCTTTTCATTGAAAGGATAGTAATTTGTCTGCAAGCATTTTAATAAACAGATCTTGCCGAACTTGAAATTTTACTTTAAGTCTGATGTTAACCATATTGATCAACCTACCTGTCGATTCCATTTTAATTTATTAGCACCGAACGGCCTCATGACATGTCAAATTATGATAACTTTTGATCCTACGACATCTCCATCGGTGAAATCAAGCAAAATCCAGCTTTTCTAGTTGAATCCCATCTCATTTACTTCAGAAAAATAGAAAAGGCGGACTCACTGGAAAACTGTTTTGGAATCTGCGCTCAGAATGTAGGCAGTTGACAAAGCGTCATGTTTGCAATCACACTACTTAGTAAGCGATATTTAGAGGGAAACTTTGCTAAAACACTGTTATTAGACGTTATTTTATGTCTACTTTCATATTTCTTACGTTTTGGGTATGATAATACATTGTGTACATCTAAAAACGAACTTTACTTATGTAGAGCCATTTCAAACGTTTTCGGGATATTGCGATTTTCGAAGTAATTTTGCATTTCTTAATAACGCACAACTGCCTTTAACAATTCTTTGGTGTTTTTTATTCGTTTAAACTTGTAGTTAATTAACATAGAAATCGGACTCGTGAATTGGTGTCGCTTTGCGAGTGACTGGCAATCATTCGTAAATTTCGACACATTTCATAAGTTAGATCACTAACTGTAATGTTACACAAACTTAAAATAACTTGTAATTATTCAAGGATTGCTGAGGGTTTGAACTTTAAACTTTTTGGTAAAACTATGTCAGCCACAGCGAGCCATCCAAAAAATAACTGGTTCAGCGAAAAAATGTTGCACTGAAGCGACAAGCAAAGTCAAAACGCTGCAAATCGTAGGAAATTTTTTAATCGAAGCCACTTGAGGAAAAACAATCCCAACATTAAAAACCGCAATTCGAAACTTTCGGTCCCGCAAATGAACAGACAGATGCACAGTATCCGGCACCCTAACACTTAAATATCTAGGCTGAGGAGTCGGAGTTCCTTAAGCAGCTAGAGACTATTTAAAAGATGAAGTAGATACAAGGTTGCATAAAGGCCCGGTATATAATTGTGGAAACTGAAGGTAATTGACTGCTGCGTAAAACTCACACATGTAGTAGCCGAATGTTGTTTGATACTCACTTGTCTTTTATGTGTCAGCATTCTGCGTTTTACCTGATTTTTAAACTAGAAGGCTTTAAAGTGGATACCTTGCTCTTTATAAAGAGCAGCTGAGGAGTCACTTGACCTACAAAGTCGTATCAAATTATTCGCTAAACTTGGTCTCCACGAATAGTATTTTCAATTGAATCAGTAACCGTCCTCGTGTGCACAAGAGGACGGAATTACTCACCAAAATGGACTCAAGTGACCGCAGCAGCATCCGTGGTTTTTCATAGACCTTATTAAACTCTAAATTTACAGCCTATAGTAATGTCAACAAAGCGCTGCAAGTAGCCAATCTTTTTGTTTTTTTGGAGGGGAATGCAATAGTTTGCGAAAAATGGAGGTGATAAAAGACAAAGCGATTCAAATGAGAAGGGGTCTCAAAGTCCGTATCGTTCTTCATATCCAATTTATTTATTTTTGAAATTCTCTTCAATATTAATTTTGTGACAACGGACCAATTGTAGAGTGCACCGAAAATCCTTTCGTTAGTTATTTGAGAAGTCATGCCTTTCCGAGAAAAGTTCTAGTTAAAAAATCGTAGACAGCAAAGAAAATTTTAAATTTTGCAGCACCCATCCCATGTCCTTAGACAAGGTTATATGTGACTGCCGTTTAAATGATTAAAACTTTTGTTGCAACTCGAAAAAGCACGTGAAAGCCAAATTTTTCATTACATATTTGGACATAATTGGTATCTGACGGATATTAGCAACCGACGACCGCATGCACTTCCCAGAATTACCTATACAGAAACCACATCTTAGACACTGCATACATCGTTATATAGCAATCAAGTTTTATACGCGACCAAACACACACTCGGCAGACTAGAAGTACCAGTTTAGCGCTGTCATGTGCAGCAGTCTTGAAAGCCATTACACTTAACCAATAAACAATTTGATCGCTCAAATTTTATACCTAGGTTGTCACTGTAATCGTTCAGACCAGGCTGGACGCAAACAAACATCCTACGTACATATGTGCAAGTTAGATGTGTGACAAGACGACGAATTATCAAAACGAAGTGTCATAAATTTCGAAATAATTTGCAAATTCAATCTCCCGGTCGCTAATATAACTGTTTTGCTATAAATACTGTTTGGTTAGAGTTTATTGAGGTCTGTGCATCCGCTGAGATTTGCTTAACAGGCAGTTGATTGAATAGTGACCCCAAAACTCAGTTGTCGTTATTGTACTCATCTCTGATAGATTTAGAAGCCCAAACTTGACAAAGGCTTTCGGATTTTGATAAGTTTATATCATCCTGGCTTAAACTATTCCTGAAATTCGTTAATCCGAATGAGCGAATTTCAGGAATAGGTTATACACGAACGCGAACAAAGGTGAACCTTTGTTCGCGTTCGTGTATAAATGTTCACACAATAGCATTCACTTTTCGGTACTTCTGACTGGCAGTATTTATAAATGCACGGTAAGTTAAAATAGATGGTGGATTAGCTGATCAAGTTTTGACTACCTGCTCAGGTTCCACTGCGGGCAATAGTTCCCAGTCGGACCCAAACTCGCTCAACACAAAGTATGCATGCTTATTTGCTCCTTGACCTGGAGCTTCAACCGGAACAGTCGGTGGTGGTTTCCATAATGGCTTTGGCGGGCCCTCTATCGGAAATCCATTCTCATCAAAATCCAACATGTCTATTAACTCATTCCGAGATTTTGTTTTTGATGTCTGAAGGACGTCCGAATTTTCATCTCCAACAGGCCACGCCTGAAAATCCTGGGCTTCAGCGATATAATAAGATCTCTTAAAGCCAAAAATTTTCCCCCAAAATCGAATGTGTTCCGATGGGTACTTGTTCAGCAATTTTTGGAAATGCATTGAAAGAAGTATGCTTTCGTCCGTTGAAAATCCTAAAATAACGTTATTTAAATAGGTAGATGATACCTGTTTCCGCATTGTTAAGAATATGATTCAAGTGAATCAGATCGGGTTCCTTTGACTTAAAAGGCGTGTGGATATGCCTCTCTGATATCACCTGATATATTTTATTGCTCATTTGTTACTTAATTGTCATTACCTCGTTGTAAATTGTTTGGAATATTTCAGCAAAGAAAACTTCGTCAGCTTTCTCCTTGAATTCCTTTACCCTATCTTTTTGCTCGATATGAGAAAATTGTACAAGATTGGTGAAGTGATCCATGTTTGAAGGTCCACATTCGCTCTTAAACTTTAGCAGGTGTTTCAACAGTGAAACCATTTGCTCATATCTGAATTCACTAAATTAAACCACAAAAGCTTACAAATTCTCCTTTGGGCCACATTTTACGGATGACAAAAGAGCTTTTGCATTTTCAATTGCCTTATCTGTCGGCTGAAGATCCGCTGGGTCGAGGTTCATGTTAGAAGCCGCTTGACTCGTAATCATGACAATTACTCAATACTCAAGGTCTAGGTTAAACATTTAAGAAGTAAAACAAACCCAAAGTGGCTAAGAATAATAAATGAATAATTGCGTGTATTGTGTATGTATATGTATTACATGATGTACATCTCCATTGTGTATCGTGAGGACCACTCCATACCTACATCTAGGTGGACTAACGATGGAAGTGCAATTGCGAGCTAAATCGAATGATATTCGGCGCTCCGTAAATATCATTGTAGGCCCAGACACAATAAACGACATCGAAATGACCTATTTTGTTATTTTTATAATAAGTCCTTTCATGTTGCTTCATGCGTACATACTAACGGTTTACAGGCGAGTTGTACCATTTATCCGCCTCTTCGAGTCGGAAATGCTCCCGATTCGTCTAACCAGTAGGACAACGATCTTCATAGTACTGTTAGCATCTGCAGCCACATATCTAAGTTCATGCATTTCTGATAACTGTGGTGAACCCCTTCAGGGGGATTAAGAGAATATTCAACTACACTAAGCGTAGTATCAGTAGCAAGGTCATATAATTTGTTAGGACACCGGGCACCCGACAACTACCCAAAAGGCCATAAAAGGAACAAGATAAAAATAGCGGGAATATATCGCGATCAATATGGGGAGCAGATGAATGTAAAAAGTGCAAATGCATGTTGGAACTTTTAACTAATTCATCAATGACGAAAACGTCCGGTGTTAAACAACTAGCACGCCCAAAACTACAACATGCTTTTGATCAAATAAAATGCAATAAAATAAAACAGATATGACCAAAAATTTGAGAAAGAGTAAGCAATTGGATATTGCGAATTAATAACTTTGTGAAGGGTGAGCATTATTAACCCAATTCTTTTTATCAACGCTTGGAATAACGAGCGGAATCGCACTGCACGATTCTGGTTAATGGAAATTGTGTACTGTTGGCTGAAAATAAATTGCCAAGTACGGTGAGTTACATTACAGCAGGGGCTCAGAATCTTTCTTCTCTGAACTGGCACAAGGCAATAATTTTCTTCGCCTCTCTACAGCCCATTTCATGTGCACGCACACATTCCTCTGAGTATTATCTGACCTGCCTGCATGTGCACGCGCAGATAAAGCCACCTCTATGGCTGCGTATAAGCTAGTGTGTGGGACGGCCAACGCAAAGTTAGTCCTATTTTCACCGCACGGCCATGAATATTTGATACCTTATGCCTGGTAATGATCTAGGCATAAATTAATTTCCCAGACCTGCTGTTTCTGGTTGGTTCTATAGTTTGTCTTATCGGGAGAGGCTGAATTTGCTTGGCTTATTCCCCCTCTATCATAGACAAATAAACTGCAGTTTACTTTGGACGTTCCGCGGCCAGGGTTGCTCATTAAGAACGGAGGACTTCTTTGAGTTAACCCGTACAAGCCAACTACACGGTCATGTCTACAAAGTCAGGAATGAGCGCACTCAGTTCGACCGTCGAAAATTTTCGTTCAGCCAGCGGGTGGTCCGACCGTGAAACTCGCTTCCAAGCCAGATGATGGAGGCTGACACAATCTGTCTGTTTAAAAGAAATCTTTCCCGCCTTGTTTGCGACATAAATCGACTTTTACAGCATGACTACGAACACCCAGTTTTGTAAAACACTGTCAAATACAATCCCTCCGAACCAATTTACAGTGACCTTATGCGCTTCCTTTTGATTACTATTGAAGCGTAACTCGATCACCTTGTAAATGCTTGAAATTTTATTTTTGACTACGAATCTGCGAAAGCACTGTGCATAAATAGGGTCATCAAAGGCTCTACCTCTAACCCTCCAATATGACAGTTCGACCGTCGATTTCGACGATGTCCACCGTGTGCCCCACAGCTGCAGCAGCGGTCGGAGCAGGGACGGTGACTTACGCAGGGGTTTATAGTGCCAGTAGACTTGCGTAGCATCTACCTACACTCTCTCCTCCTCCCCCGCCTGGGCCCGGTGTCAAGACAGAGTCAAGATGACCGGAGACGAGGGAGGCCGCAGGTGGATGGCTCGGACGGATCCTCACCTTGGCGTTCCACCACACCCCCTGGTCCACACAACAATAACCAGGATTTGAACCAACACAACATAGATTAGGAGGCTGGCACGGCCGAAGCCGCACCTGGGCGTGCCGACAACGCCTGGCTCGGATCCCACACTGTGGTGGGAATGCCATAAAGGCCACATTAAAAAGGAGCCATTGCAGCCTGACTCTCAGACCGCCTCCCGATAAGGAGGAGGTCCAAGGTACCCCGTCCGTTGGCAACCTTCCAAGCCACGGCTTTTAGCGCACCGTGATAGCTTCAAGCGCGTCAGATTGTTTATAGTGAGGAAAATGCGCTGAGTCGTCGACCTCACTCTCCCTTCCCATTCCCACACCCCAGCCACTGTCCGAGCCGTCAGTAGACTGGAGTGGGGAATGGGCGCGGTGGCTGACATGGTCGACTGACCATGCCTGCGCGCGCCACAGCACGACCTGGCCCCCCATAAACACAAACACCAGGATTTCACACAACGGGGGTTAAACGGCGTGTCTCTCACATGCGTGAGAGGGCCGTGGAAGGTGCTGCTTCAGCCCGTCCCCAACCCACCAGTCCGCCACTACACACAACACACACACACAACGTGACGAACTGCGTGAACCGAGAACGGGCGTCAATCAGCAACCTTCCTATCCACGACACTTGACGTGTCGGGATAGTCTCGGATTCAAGTCACCCGTGCAGCCGAGGCCGCATGGGGACCGAGTCGAGATGCACACTTCCCACTTGCGTGGGAGGCGGCAGTTGAGTGCATGAGGTGTGTGGGGGTTGATGTCTGGTGGGGTGATGGTGGTAGGAGGTAGGGAGTGAGGGAATGTGTGGTGTGACCGGCGGTTGTCTACCGCAGGTCGTTGTGGATGCGCATGTGGCCGAATAGACCCATGCGATGCGTGAAGGTGCGAGGGCAGTGTGGGCAGTGGAGGCGAGTGCGGTGGGTGTAGGTTGGTGCTCCAGGCACTGGTTCGCCAGTCTCTGTGCGATGGATTCGCAAGTGACCGACCAGGCCGATGCGTGAGGTGAAGGTGCG